AGTCTACTTGAAGGTTATAGATAGGTTTTGTTGCATTAAAATAATAATATTTGCTATAATAAGATGTATTGTTCAATTTGCATCCTTTACAAGCCACTAGTATATTATCTGATAATAATATATAGTATTGAATTTTAAGTTTTTTATTAAATAGATTATAGATTCTTCTGAAAGTTAAGTTGTTTGTAATTATCCAGCCTTTTTTGGTAGAAGTCCAATTAGCCAAAATATGTGAATTGCATTGTAAGTATATTGAGAATGAATTTGTGGATGTAGTTATTGAGGATGAATTTGTGGATGTAGTTATTAAGTCTTGTATTATATGAAACCAACATGGGCACTGGCCTCTTGGTATTTTTTTGATGTTATAATGAAAATGGTTCTATGTTAATAACTCTGTGTTAGTAGCATTTAGAAATTGCTCAATGCAATAAATGTTGTGTCCATTTAGTTTTTCTTTGAGGTAAGAGGCTTTCAAATATTATATTAGTATTTGATTTATAGAGTTGTTTGTGAATTTTTTTGGATAAGGTCAATTATTAATATCTTTTGAAGTTTGTATACCCAATGCATGTAGCATAAGTACTATTTGACTAGTTTGAAAAAATTGAAGGATGTACTAGAATAGAAGTATTAGTAAATGCAGCATCTTGTAGTTGTTGTAGATGTAGTTTCAAAAAGAAAGAGTTAAAATCTGAATAATTTGGATTTTTTTGAGATGTTGTAATTAGTGCTGAAAGTTAATTCATAAATGTCTAGATTATATAAAAAGGAGTTATAAATTCCTCAAGCTAGTTTTGCCTTATGTTTAACTAATTGAATACATATTTTGTTAAGAGTATTTGCTTGGGCTAAGGTAAGAAATAAAGAATATAGTCAATAAAGAAATCATGGAATAATAATACTATTTATGATATAAATTGCTTGTTTTTCTGTTATATTAGCAAATTGTAACTTTTTTAGATTAATTATTACTTCTGCTATTATTTCTTTTTGTACCAAAGTTGGTCTTTTGTTATTAAGAACCATGCTCTCAGATATTTGAATGTTTGTTATTGTTAATCTTTATTAGTTGTTCTTCATTAAAGAGTATGAAGTTATTTGGATCTGTTGAGTTTGTAATTAATATTGATTTTGAGAGGTTGACTTTTATGTTGGCAAATTTGTAAAAAGATGAGATGATGTTTAGAATGTTTATAAGAGAGGTTTTGTTAAGTGCAACCAAAGTGAGTCATTCATGTAAGCCATTAAGCATTAATTTTCTTTGATTGTATACTAGGAATTTTACTAAAAAATCCTAAGTGTTCTTTGTGTATTTTTGAGATTAATAGATTATAATATATTTTCCAAAAAAGTGGTGAAAAGGTCTCCCCTTAGTCAATATAATCCTCAACTGAGTATGATGCAGTTAGACATAAGCTTGTAATTACTCTGTTGGTCTGATGTAAAAGCAAGTATAATATCAGGTTTATGGCTTTGTCTGGTATATGGATTCTTTTCAGTGCTTTATATAAAGTGAGTATGTAAATTGAGTCAAAGGCTTTAATATATTTTGTAAGAGAATCCAGACTTCTTTCTTATTTGTAATTACATCTTCCAAAATTGAGTAAGTTGAGAAATTGGTTATAGTGTGAATTGATGAAGGAAAGCTGCAAAATTGTGTAGAAAAAGTACTTGATTTCAAACTAGGATGTTTGTTAGTCTGATTGTTAAAATTTTTATAAAGATTTTTCTAGTATGATTAATTAGTATTATTGGTTATGTGGAATTAAGCTCGTAATTGTAATGTTGTTTTTTGAAATTGGCCAAATGTTGGCTTGTAGCTACTGGTCTGAAATGCATTCTTGTATTAAGCATTTGTTGAATATTTCTAGTAATAGTAGAAGGGCTGATGATGGTAAGTGTTGTAGAACCTTATTTGCAATTCCTAGTAGTCCTGTTGCTTTTCCTTTAAGGGCTTCTTTTATAATTTGTTCCAGCTTAGATAGGGAAATTGAAGACAAGAGGTTGTTATAAATGTTACTTTTAAAGTTGTTATGTAGATTATATATTGATTCTTATTTCTTTTAAATAGCATTATTTGGTGGATTTTTTTTGGTCCAGTTTCTGTAATATTAATGTGTGGCTTCTTTGATTTCATTCTTGTCAATAATTATCTTGTTTGGTAATATAATTTTTTTAAAGTTTACTAGTTCTGCTCTTCTTTTAAGAATGCTATCTAGTATATGACTAGTGTTTTCTTTAAAGTCTGAGAATCTTCAGTTTGTGTAGAATTTGATTCTTTCAATTTGTTCTTGTTTTTTTTTAAAGTTCTGTGCTTGCCATATTGTATGTTTGTATTGTTTTATCTGTGTTATAAGATCAAATAGAGAGAGATTTAATTGTTCTTGTATAATTAATGAAATGTCTATTTCTGCAAAAGTAGCTGCCTTTGATAGGTAAGAGTTTACTCTAGTTAAGTTATTTAGACTGTTATTTGAGAGGTAATATAAGCATTTGTTAATGTTTTTAAGAACAGAATGCAGTTTGGTTGCTTTTAGCTAAAGTGCAAAAAAGAATTTGTGAGTAGTAAGAGTATATAAAATATGTTCATTTATTTTTTCTTTAATTTTTGCTGCTTAGAAGTTTTATATTTTGTTTATATTATTTTTGTTCGTATTTGATAATGGGATATTTTGCAGGTTAAAACAGGTATTTAGTGATTCTTTAAAATCTTTTTAGTTTTTTGATGTAATTTTCTCAAACAAGTATATTTTTCTTTTCTTTTTTTTGTTTCTAGGGTTTTTTGAAGGTAAAAATTTTGTATGCCAGGTTGTACTTAGAATGCAGTAATCACTATCTGAGATATAAAAAGCATTAGTTAAAGATGGAGGTTCAAATGCAAGTAGTATATCTGACAAGATTCAGAAATTATCAATTTGGATAGCAGAAGTTAGGCCATGTTATGTTGGTGTTTGGATGTTGTGAAATGCTAGTAGACTTGTCAGATTAATGGCATTTAAGTTTGTAAATATCAGAAAGTGATTGTCTCTAAATTGATTAGCATTAAAATCTTCCAGTATAATTAGGTGCTAGTTTCTAGCTCTAGCTTTTGTAATCCAGTTGAGTAATTAGGATTGAGTCTTTTTTAGAAGAGCAGGATGATTTGAAGGAAGGTAAGTTGAAAGAATATGAGATTTGTTGTTATTAGAAAAAAAGAAATTAAGACATATAGCTGTTTCTTGAAAGATGTTAATTTTGTGAATGTATAGTTGTAGTTGATTGCAAACCATTAAGGCAGTTCTCAAGCTGGCTTCTCATTAATTTGGTTTGTATGATACAAAGTTTAAGATAAAGATTTTATATAAGGTGTTAGTTAATGACTTCATTATTGAGTCTTTTAGCTTGGTTTCAGTAAGAGAGATTATATGTAAGTTTGATTCAGCATAGTGTTTGATCCAGGTTTGTATTTTTAGTATATCATTAATGCCTCTAATGAAGTAAGTAGTAATATTAATTTTTTCGGTTATATTAGAGTTATAGAGATTTGACTCATTCATATTTTTTACAGATTGTAAAATGTTCACATTAGAATGTTTGTTCATAAGTCTTCTGTTATAGGATCTTCTTCTATTTTAGATGTTTGTGTCTTTGGTATTGTGTTAGTTATTTTTTTGTCTTCAAAAATGTTAAAAGATGGTTCAGATAGATCTATAAGATCAAATATGTATTCTGATACTGTGTAATAGGAGAAATTTTGTTGAAGGGTTTCTAAAACCAATGTGATTCTGTAATGTTTTTTAATAGGCACATTTATGTTGTCAATTTTTTTTCGACTAATGCAAGCTGCAGCTTTTTTAGTATAGAAAATAGTTTATCTAGAGCATTATTAGGTTCAGATTGTTTTTTTTTGGATGTTTATTCATGATTGAGATATTGTATGAAAATAGTAGTATTTATATAGTGCTTTAGCTGCCATGCTTAGTTCTTTAAAAGTTGAGATTGGTAGTGTTAAGTTTACTGCTATAACTAGTTTGGCATCTTCAGGTAGGTCAGGAAGTTCTGTATAATTAAAGTCACAATATGTTTTTGGCAATAGTATTGAGATGCTATACGCTATCTCAAAAAAGTATCGCATCAGAGAGTGTAGATTACACGAATTTGTACATCAGGTGTTACAAATTAACAGAGTTACAATTAAGAGATTTTCCCGGCATTTTTTATTTTCCCCAGAATTTATTCTTTTCTAAAATACATATTCGTTTCCTGATAACTATATTTATTGTTACTGTTACAGGTTACATTGATCTTTGAATTAAACTTGACATAGTCAATTTAGTCAAACTCAAATCAGCATAAATTAATTGATTAATTTAACTGAATAAATTAATATTATTCAAACATTAATACATATTTTACTATGCAATATAATTAACAAATTTTTGGCATCTAGTCAATGGGTCAAAAGGTGTCAATAAATAAATTTTACTTAGTGGGAAATATTTTACTATGTAGTAAGAACATAATACATAGTTTATCATTTCAATTTATATCTATTTTATAACAAACGACCCATTTTTTAATCCTTAGCTTGGTAAAATTTACAATTAATTGAGTATTCATAAAAATCACACATGCAGCCTTATCATGCAACAACTCGAATATTAACATTTTAACATGATAACAACATTTGATAAAATATTAAAGAATCGCATAAGCGTCAACCACAATTCTTACTTTGATTCTTTATAGTAAATGAGCATCGTCACATTTATTAACCACATAGTGAATAATGTTTTAGTAAACTTTGATTATTTCATAATTTGTTTATTCGATTCGTTATCAAAAATTTTGTGAATTCATCAGTCAATGAGTAAATAAATGAATAAGGCATAGTCTTATATTGTGGCAAATCAATATGGTTAAAGCTATTATAATATAAATATAAAGTTAAATTGCTAATTTAATAACAAACGAATGACATACGTACCAGGCATGACTTTTCGGCAACTGAGTGATATCTACTGCTTTTTCAATTGAGAATCAACGAAGTTCATCACTTCTCTGTAAGTTTTTGAACCTGTTAATGGAAATGCGAGATGTTCCTGTAGTGAATTGCAATAGATGTAATTTCTTTTTGCCGTCCCACGATCATACGTACTAAAAAATAAACGGTTTGTAACAAAGCTTAAATCTGGAACATGACGAGATAATATAAGTAATACAAACCTTCCATAACCACTATATAATCTTATCTGATTCTGCATATTCTCGGTAATCGGTATGTTTCTTCCAATCGTTGACATCAATTTCAGCGATATCTCCAATAAGTAACTGGAATAATAATGGATGATATGATTCAATCAAGGTGTTCTCATGACTGATTTTTTGCTGCGCAGTAATTTTATTGCTAACTATCACAAGATGCATATCGAACAAACCTATTGGTAAACTGTTCTACATACAAAGTAATAATAATAAAATTTTGACTTTAACCTCTAATTCACGCATCAAACACTGAAATCAACTCTTGTGATATAAGTTGACTAAATCCTTCCATAAATGCTTTAAATTGATCAACATGTTTAGAAATACGCTATTCAGTGATGAGCCTGAAAGAAATTTAATTCTGAATTTAGAATAAGAGGAATTTATAATTAAAAAAAAAAACAATAAATCCATATATACTCTATATATTCTTTTTTACTTTCTTCCGTTACTAGAATATCACAACCTTTCAGTTTCAGTAATATCACTCTCTCTTTGTAAAACAGAAAAATGAGTTAGTACTAAAACAGTTATATATACTTTTTATAAAACAAATTTACATACAAAGCCTAGTTTAAACTTCTATAGAAATCTGCATCTATGCTTTTCTTTGGAATCATTTATAAATGATATAATGAAAAATGCATCTAAAAATCGACGATGGAAAATAACAAGCACTACCAGTCATCCAATAAATTTAAAATAATTAAGATGTTGAGGATCGATACCTGAGTGAGGATTGATTTGGAGGGTATAGAATAGATCGAACATTTTATGAGAAAACAAAAAGAAAAAATTTGTAAAAATAAACCATTTAACGCGTGCTATGTTTATGAGAACATTTGAGGGTTCTATCAAAATCCAATTTGAATATTTTTAATAAATACCTAGTTAAACCACTGTAATACAATTCGTCTTCAAATTTAATCATCAATAATTTTTTAAGATCTTGTGGTTGTTGTCACATGATTTCTAAATAAGCATCTTCAAAAATAAATTTGTGTCAGACTTTAATGTGACATTGACCAGGTACGGGTCGAAGAGCAGGTTGAGTCCTGAAGTATCTTTCTACAAAAATCTCATTTATATGTATTGAGGCACATTTTGACTAATCAAAAAATAAATTATAAATAATTAAGACCTGATAGTATTAATGGAACTTATCAATCATTATGTACTCTAAGCTACTAGATAATCGAGGATCATTCCACGTAATAGTTTTTGTATTGTAATCTACAAAATATACTCTTGATGGCGGTGGTCCTAGTTGAGATACAGGTTGCTGCTGAATGGTAACATTGTTTGCATTTCCACCATACATCCTAATATACTATTGTCTATGAGAATCTACCCAAGTAGTTGTTCTTGTGCTATGATCCACAAAATACGGTCTATCTTCCGGTGTAGTACTTTGTTCTTAATTAAATATAAAAATCAAATGTGTGTTAAATAGAAAGAAGAAAAACGATGAATTGAATCATGTACAATAATATCTGCTATATACGCCAACCAATGATCAATGATAGTTTATATTTTCTTGAAATTTTTGTTTATTAACGAAAGTTTTTTGTATAATGAATATGAACAAAGTCAATTCGGTTCTAAATAATGATAGCTTTTTATTATCAGAATTAAATTATAACATCAACTTCTTACATGTCAGCCTTCTACTTCTAACAATTATCAAAACTATTTAAAGAGCGAAATGAAATTATTACATTTCAAGAAGTTGATACGTATTACTGCAATCTTTGTTACTAAATCAACAAATGCAGAAGTAATATAAAAAAGCATTCTATATCAAGATCGCATATAATCAACTTTACAATTCAATGTAGCTGTATGAATTAAGATTCCACACCATGGAAAATCTTAAGAACATATTCAATTAAGTTAAAAATCTGTTAAAATTACTTGAACAGACAAATATTTGATTTATCACGTGTATTACGTACTCAATTTCTCTATCAGCTTCCTATCAACAATCATATTGAAGTGTGATAGGCTCTTTTCTCTGTTAACAGCATACTTATATTTTGGATATTTTGGATGACCTAAAATAAAATTCATACGTATTTAATAAAATCTCACCTATCAAAATACATATATACATCACAATTATTACCTTTATGCATTGCGGTTACAAATCTTTCACCTTTTCTTTGTCTGTACTTATGTCCAGAAATCAACAATCAAACATAACATTACCTATAAATTCAATTTTTAGCAAGAAGGAACTAAAAATTATTATAAACAACTATAAGTCATCATTGTGTGCATATGAATTATCAATTGTGCTAATACAAACCTGCAAAGTAGTGTCAATATGACTGACATATGTGAAATACCGGTACATTGCCTATAAAACTTGTTCCTAACTAGGGATGACAATAGTCGGTCATTTTCAGCTAGCCGTTTTGTAGCCGTTAGCTGTATCTCGCGATCCAGTACCCCAAATGGGATAATTTTAGTAACATTCGAATCGTCTTATTGAGACGATTCGAATGGTATTAAAATCATCCAATTTGGATCACTGGTTCACAAAATAGCCGCAGCTTAGCCGATCGGCTAAGCCGAAAATGACCAACTGTTGCCATCCCTATCCCCAACCTCTTGATAACCATGGCATACGTATTATATTGCAAATCACACATTATAATATAGCAGTCTCAGAATTGTACTTTTATTAAATCGTACTTTATATTCTTTAATGCGGTCAATAAAATCCAAATTTGGGAACTTTTATGCTAATTCTTTTGCAAAGCAGGACAACCATCTACATACGTACAGTATGTACATATATCATTTAATATGAACAACACGAAATTAATTGCAATGATTAAAACAAAAAATATTACGAAACTGGTTAATCTAGTACGTACCTTTCGAGTTGACATAATATTTATAAAATGAACGCATTGTACGCATTACCTTTCTGGCAAACCACATCATATTTATGAATGACAACATTGGACATTTACTTTTGCGAAGTATAACTTTGATCTGCAAAATGAAAAGGCTAGTTATTATAACTATAAATAATTAATACTATATTTAAGCGAATTAACGCTCATGGGCATTAATTAGAGACATGCAATTTAAAGAAAACTAATAATTAATTTAACCGAAAACTTTTAATAACAATAAGCTAAACTATGAATCACACTCAGTTAAATTAATTATTAGTTCTTTTTAAATTGCACGTCTCTAATTAACGTCCATAAGCATTAATTCACATAAATAAGGTAACCACAAATCAGAACTATATAGGTATATACATATTAACATACTATGTATGTCTGTTTTTAGTAAAATTTTGTTTAAATTCTTTCAACGTTCATAAATCTCATTAAAATTGAACACTGAACCAATCAGATAATTGCATGTTCTGAACGAATACATATTTCAACCAAGATCAAAACCATTTAGAACATAAAATATTGTAGCAAAAAATTTCTTAAAAGCTATAAACACCGTTATTTCAAATATTAGACTTGAAATGTATCTCATAAAATTGCGTTCACAGATTGCTAGGCTTTTTCACCGTCCACCTATTCCAGTAAAATATTCATTTATTAGGTATACGTTGTTAATTCACATAACAAGTAAATTATGCCAAAATTAATGCTAAGTATATAAGAATACCTCAACCAATGATAGTTATTTAAATACTGACCTTATTTTGCACTTTATTTAGAGTGATAACACGTCGCTTGTTCCTTCCGAAGAAATCGAACAGTGGAATATCCCAAGATATTATTGTCTAAGAACTGTTTCTCAGTTTCTTACAAATACAACATAAACTTAATTACTAAATGTTAAGGTATGTATTAAAGATAAATACTTTGGGAACTCCCTCAAAGGTGTTTACTGGCAAAGATTTTATATTGTATTTTCAATTCATAACCAGATATCTTTACGATAGTAAAGCACGTGATTGAAATTTGCATTGTGGCTATATAGAAACTAGCCCGAGTAATATGAATATCATAAAATAAATTTAATGACCAAAAATTTGAATCCGAGAAGTACTAAGAATTGAATTCTCTTACTTGAAGCAGTGGGAAAGCAATCAAATATCCACCAGATAAATTCATATAATAGTTCTGATCTCTTAACAGCTTCAACTTTGTTATTTTTATTGCCCTCCACAAAAAGCCACTTACACTGCTTAATCTTAAATTCAATAATAAATAATATTTGTAACTATGTAGTAAGATATGTTAAGTAAATACTTTGAATTTATTCCAAACATAGTGTAGCAAGAGTTCTTCATAATACCTAAGCGTGATGAACTTTTCTACAGCTAATATTAAAATAATAATAATAATAATACTATGTAATAATAACAAGTATAATTCAAATTAATGATAAATATTTCAATTATTTTAAATGTGTATATTACCAGATTATTCGTTAATTGACATTACAACCTCCAAATCTTCTGGAATTACTTGTTTCAGCACTGCACGAACAAATATAATAACCTAATATTTTTTAAGATATAAAGGATATTAGAAAATAGAAATATCAAATTGCAAAATAAAACATATCATTATAGCAATACGTGTGATACAAAAATACCTGATATAGATTCGAATTAGAGTTTAAATCCTGGATATAAGAGCTATCATTAGTAGGAGTGAATATTCACAATTTTTATGTCATAAAATAATTGGATTTATCATAGAAGCACTTAAATCAAGTGAGAAGGAAAGGTATATCAACATTAGATAATAAATTTTATTATCAGTATTTGTTTTATATTTAGTAAATATACTAGATTATTTCTTAAAAAAAAACAAACCTGAATCTCATTAATGCGATTTTGATACAATTGAAATAACGATTGCACCCATTCTTGTCGTGATCAAACACGTTGTGAAGACCAAATTGCTTTGGAAAAGTATGTTGAATGGTGTCTCTTGGCATTTTGGTATTATTTAAAATATCTGTAAAATACGTATTAATATACATAAATAATCACATCAGGTAATTATTCCTGCGTTTTAATTACTTACTATGTTTAGCCAATCCGAACCTGACAGATCTATTAGTATTGTAAGCTGTAGAGTGGAAAATATTTTGAATCTGTTAAATATAAGATTCGCAGGTACCAGATCTGTGATGTGTATTTATGTGTGATGCTTTTACAAAGTCCATCAATTAACACTTTTTCTCCCCAAAATTTAGTCGGTATACGTATTTACCAATGAACAATAACATCTGCAAACAACAATGAAAACAAAAAAACTGATTAATAAATATATATATATATTTTTTTTAAAAAAAAAACTCATCTAAATTTAAACAAAAAAAAAACTTATCTTTATTTTATCTAATAAAATTTCTTAAGTTGATTTTGGCCGAATTTTCATTCTGAATTTTTTATAGAAAATTTGTTCACCCGATCACCACATTGAGGTATCAGCTATAGATCAAAAAAAAAAAGTAATTAATACCAATGCCGGTTTCCAATAGTTAGCCTAGTAGAAACTCGTTCTAAACATACAAAAAATAAAAAAAATTTATCAAAGGTGCCTTAAGTTAAATTCTCAGATTTATATCTTTACCAGAGCACCTGCTTGTCAAGTTAGGTGATTAGTGCAGAATACTGGATTTACATCTAATACCAGAGCACTCGCTCGTCTAGTCGCATGGCTAGCATAGATCACAAAAGAATTTAACCCAGTTTTTCAGACTAACATCTTTGTCAAAGCACTCACTCATCTAGTTGGGTAGTTAACACCAAATGCTGAAGAACTGGAAAGGACACCTTTGAAGGGGTTAGCATTTTGAAATGAGTGCAACAAACCTCAAGGGTTAAAGATTATTATCAAGCTAGGGTAAAGACATTCTTATTCAACCTTAACATCCTTATCGCTAGAATGTAACCAACTTTTTTTTTAAGCAGATTTGATTAGCCAATCATACAAATTCATTTTATCGTTACTACGTAATACGTGTCTATAGAAAGGCTTTTATATGATTAGCTGTTTAAATCAATTTAATTTATACAGTTTAACCTATATAAATAATGTAAAATTGTAAAATTAAATTCCTACGTATACATAGAATATGCAATCAATCAAATTTTGATAACCTTAGTTATATTATCCAAATATCACCACTTTATAAATATCTTATCACGTATTGTGGCAATAACAAAAGAGTGATGAGGAAGACTATAAAAGTTTACTAAAAACCTCACTTATAAGTAATACTAAACATTTCTTGGGTTATGTAGCAGAGCAGATATTATTGTATACGATTCAATTCATCGTTTTTCTTCTTTTCATTTAACACACATTTGATTTTTTATATTTAATTAAGAACAAAGAACTACACCGGAAGGTTGACCGTATTTTGTGGATCATAACACAAGAACAACTACTTGGGTAGACCCTCATAGACAATAGTATATTAGGATGTATGGTAGAAATGCAAACAATGTTACCATTCAGCAGCAATCTGTATCTCAACTAGGACCACTGCCATCTGGCCAGGAAACGCATTTAACAATTACAGCAAGAGTATATTTTGTAAATTACAATACAAAAACTACTACGCGGGACGATCCTCAATTACCTAGTAACTTAGAGTATGTAATGACAATATGTTTCATTAATACTATCAGGTCTTAATTATTTATATTTTATTGTATGATTCATTTTTTTGATTTAGTCAAAATGTGCCTCAATATAAACGAGATTTTTGTAGAAAGATACTTCGGGTCTCAATCTGATCTTCGCCTGTACCTGGTCAATGTCACATTAAAGTCCGACGCGAATTTATTTTTGAAAATGTTTATTCAGAAATCATGCGATAACAACCACAAGATCTTAAAAAATGATTGATGATTAAATTTAAAGACGAATTGTATTACAGTAGTTTAACTAGGTAATTATTAAAAATATTCAAATTGGATTTTGATTAACCAGATTTTGATAGAACCCTCAAATGTTCTCATAAACATAGCATGTGTTAAATGGCTTTATTTTACAAATTTTTTAAAGAATTTTCCTTTTTGCTTTTTTATAAAATGTTCAATTTATTCTATACACTCTAAATTAATCCTCACTTGGGTATCGATTCTCAACATCTAATTATTTTAAATTTATTGGACGAGTGGTAGAGCTTGGTATTTTTCATTATATCATTTTATAAAATGACTAAAGAAAAATGTAGATGCCGATTTCTATAGAAGTTTAAACTGGGCTTTGTTTGTAAATTTGGTTTATAAAAAATATACATAACTGTTTTAATACTAACCCATTTTTCTGTTTTACAAAGAGAGTAATATTACTGGAACTAAATGGTCACAATATTTCAGTAGCGGAAGAAACTAAGAAAGAATATATATGGAGTTATGGTTTTTTTGTAATTATATATCCTTCTTATTCTAAATTCGGAATTAAATTTCTTTCAGGCTCATTACTAAATGACATATTTCTAAACATGTTAAGGATCAATTTAAAGTATTTATATAAAGATTTAATCAACTTATACCACAAGAGTTGATTTCAGTGTTTGACGAGCATGAATTAGAGGTTTTCTGCTTTTTAATTACTTACAATGTTTAGGCAGTCCAAATCTGACAGACATTAGCATTGTGAGTTGCAGAATAGAAAAAATATTTTGTATCTGTTAAATATAAGATTTTCGCAGGTGTTCTTACACTATTTTTTGATTTATTTTTTGGTCATCGGGTATTTAATTGTATATTTTGACATTGATAAGATATAAATTTTCTGACAAATCAGTATTTGATTCACGAAAAGTTCTAGCACTATCACTGTTATTGTTACAGTATTTGGTGAATTTAGAAATTTCTTTATCTTGTGAATAGGAATTATCTAAAGTCCGCTTTTTTTAGCTAACCAGTGAATATTATTGATTCAATCAATAAAATATAACCACAGAACGTTACTTCTAAAATCATTTCTATAATCATCACAATACCCATTATACATAAGTCTAACTGTTACTTTTGATGGATATTTTTCATCATCCAAATTTTTCAGATCCAAGATGAAAATTTTAGACTCATGTACATCCATATACGTACAAATATTCTGGTATCATTTCTGTAGAAGTTTCCTGAGATGATACCCTTTTAAAAATCGATTCCCCTTTAAAGGTTTCTTGAGATGACATCATATTGTTCGAATTTTCCAAATCCATATACATATCTTGCGACATGCTCTCTATAAAAGTTTCCTGAAATGACAATCCTTTAAAAATTCCTTTTCCTTTAAAGGTTTCTTGAAATGATGCCCCATCATTCAAGATTTCCAAATCCGCGATGAAAATTTCAGATTCATGCTGTAGTTCATATACATATTTTGAGGTGTCGTTTCTTCAAAAGTTTTCTGAGGTAGCACTATTACAAAAGTTCGTTCTCCTTTAAAGATTTCTTGAGATGACACTACTTCAAAGACTTCATAAAATAACATTTTTTAGAATTTTTTGATTACATTTAGACTTTTGAAGATCAATATTCGATTTAGGTAATTCACTTATTTCAATTCCTAATTAATAATAAATAAATTTAATTAATGAATTTCATATAATTTTTTATAGTTAGAAAGTTGTAACTTTCTTACTGGTTACTTGAAGATAAGAATTATTTGAAAGATAATAAATATTGATGTATTCTTCAATAAATAAGTCATTGCTTTCTCACCAAGCCTACAAAATATTATACTATTCAAACTTATACACTTCATGGCTTTATTTTATTGTAATCAGACTGGTAATCATCTAATATAATCTGTGCATGAATTTTTGTAATCTACCATATTTTATACTAACATCATTAAAGCCAAGCAATAAAACATTGGGTTGCTTTTTTCAGCTCAGACTGTCTTTTTATTAACAAGTTCTATAATAGCATTATTAATCATCTATCAGTAAGATTTTAGATTAGTTTTAACAAACTATCTTCACTTAGCAAATTTAGTAGCTAAAGTATACTTCTATATATTCTTTTTCCTAACAAGTAAGATGGAAAGGACCGTTTGTTATCATTTATAAGTGAGGTTTTTAGTAAACTTCTATAATCTTCGTTACCCTTCTGAATCAATTTAACTTGGTTGCCGAAATCGTATATAGTGATAAGGTGGTGATATTTGGATAATAAACACTTAAAACCTTGTTTTTCAAAGCCGGTGCAGTCACGTGATACGTAGCCAATAAAATCGTTTGTTTTGATTGACACAGATCAGTCCAATGAAGAAAAACATTAAAAATACAAAAAATAAGTGCCTATTACGTATAACTTATCTTGTGGCATTATTACTATAAAACCCGCCCTTAGCCTAACCTTAACACTAACCCTTACCCTAACTTTAATTTAAAAATTAAAAACATATAACCACACACAGCTTTAGATGTACCCCTTGTTTGGGACGTTCTTAATAATTTTCGCTACATTATGCATATTTCGCGTGATTGACTGAAAAAAGGAAAATTTATCAATAGCGTGATAAATTAAAATGTTACAAATTTTTATTTTTATTGAAACCAAGAAATTGATTTTTTTTATGATCAAAAACTATTTTTTAGTATTATGTAAGTTATTTATTTCTTTACTTGTTAGAGAATTTAGTTGCTTTTTATGCTTGCACAGAGGCACATGTTGCGGTCTGAGGTTATATAAATTTGCATAGACTATGGCTATGTGACTGCATATGGCATAATAGAGGCACAGGATGTGTCTATAAAGTTTATGTGAATTTATATATATTGAGCTCTATGAACTAGTTTTGCGGTCAGAAGCACAGGATGCGATCTGAGGTTATATAAGTTCGCATAGACTATGGCTATGTAACTGCATATGGCATGATAGAGGCACAGGATGTGTCTATAAAGTTTGTGCAAATTTATATATACTTAGCTCTACGAGTTTGTTTGGCAGTTAGGGTATACGCTGCATCTGTAACTGTGTTTGAAGTGATCAAAAATTTTCAAATTTCTAGCTAACTTTTTTTTTCGATTTTTATTAGAAATTATTAATTACTGAATTATGCTTAGTTATGCCTCAATCAAGGAGTCTAGTAGTATATGATTGACATACGAATATTTCTGTTTATTGCAAAAAAGTAGGGTGGTTAATAGAGTGCTTCAGACTATAATAAAACATTTAACCCACATCTGGAATGCTCTGTTGTGGGTTATTCCATTAACAACCTTACAACAAAAGCTACAATCCACAAATTGAAATTGGTTAACTGTTGATTATATTACCTACTACTAGTGTTGTTAGGTGAAACTATTTTTGGTAAATGTCGAAAGTCGAAACTAAATCCGGCAAAAGTCGAAACTAGCGAAACTCCGGCGAAACGTCGAAACTCTAGCGAAACTCCCAGTAAAGCTAAAACCCTTGGAGAAAGTTAAACACAGCATAGATTAAATCTTCTAAGATTTTGGAAAGACTGAACCATGTTGGTGAATCAAAATATTTTGCGTGTGGTCTTAAGCACAGCTGGCTTATATAAAAATGTACAAAAGCAATAAACAAAGTGATGGTCTTTTATTTGTATTTGAATACTATTAAAAGAAAACTAGACTTCGGGCTTTTGAACTTAAAATAAATCGATTCAGCGCCTGAAAATTCAAAGTTTGAAATCCTGTTTTCTTTTAGTAGTGTTTATTTATGTATTAATATTATTTGTATAAAATAAACTTATCAAAATATTTAAATAAATTTACTATTATATAGTTAAGATTTTTTCTTTACCAGCATTTCATCATTAAAACTTTAATTAAATGCTATACATATGTAAGTAATTTATTAACATTATTATTGACAACTAGTTTCTGATACTTTATTTAAAATAAATCAAATAATAATAAAATTATCTATTTCTAATCTCTGTAATTGGACATACATTATAATACTTCCTTTTATCTTATATGTATATAAATAAAAAAATAAATCTTTCTATTAGTACTTATTTTATTAATTTTCTTTTCTTTTACTAATTTTATTATTTTCCATCTTTTAGTAGTTTCGCCAGTTTCGCCATTTTCAATTTTTTTTTGATGAAACCTCTAAGTTTCACCTAACAACACTACCTACTATGTAGCTAATTTTTTTAAACGAATAAGAGTTAGATCTTATTTTTGGCTACAGCTCTAATGAAAGCTTCTATGTATAGTTTTTTTTACTTTATTATGGTTGGTTTTCATTTTTTTTAAAAAGTATTCTAAACTGTATAAATAATGTAAAATTTAAATGGAATTTATTAGCCAATCAGATGAACTTCTGCCTATGCCATATTTTTTTTCCCGATCTATTGCTGATAAAGATTTGGATCGAAAATTCGGCCAAAATCAGCTTAAGAAAATTTATTAAATAAAAATACAGATAAGTTTTTTTTTTTTTGTTTAAATTTTAGATAGATTTTTTTTTTTTAAAAAAATATATATATATATTTATTAATCAGTTTTTTTGTTTTTATTGTTGTTCACAGATGTTATCATTCGTTGGTAAATATACCGACTAAATTTTGGGAAGAAAAAGTGTTAATTGATGGACTTTGTAAAAGCATCACACATAAATACACACTACAGATCTGGTACCTGCAAATCTTATATTTAACAGATTCAAAATATTTTCTACTCTACAGCTTACAATGCTAATGGATCTGTCCGGTTCGGATTGGCTAAACATAGTAAGTAATTAAAATGCAGGAATAATTACCTGATGTGATTATTTATGTATATTAATATGTATTTTACAGATATTTTAAATAATACCAAAATGCCAAGAGACGTCATTCAACATATTTTTTTAAAGCAATTTGGTCTTCACAACGTGTTTGATCATGACAAGAATGGGTGCAATTGTTATTTCAATTGTATCAAAATCACATTACTAAGATTCAGGTTTGGTTTTTTTTTTTAAGAAATAAATAATCTAATATGTATATTTACTAAATACAAAACAAATACTGATAATAAAATTTATTTTTAGAAATCTAATGTTGACATACCTTCTCACTTAATTTAAGTGCTGCATATGATAAATCAAATTATTTTATGACATAAAAATTATGGATATACAAGCATTATTCCCTTGATGATAGGGGTGCATTCCGGTTACAAAATTAATCAAATAAATTCAAATAATTTATACTTTTATTATTATTATTATTTATTTTAACAGGCGTGAAACAGGTTATCACTCATACAGATGATAGCTCTTATATCCAGGATTTTACTTTAATTCGAATCAATATCAGGTATTTTTATATCATATTGCTATAACGGTATGTTGCATTTTGCAATTTGATATTTCTATTTTCTAATATATCCTTATATTTTAATAAATATAGGTTATCAT